GGCTTTAGGTCTCAGGAGTCTTGGACGAGCGCAGAGAACTTATAGATAAGCACCGTATCATGGGTGGAATCTTTTGAAGATTTAGATTAACTTGGGTTCAGGGTGAGTAGGTTCGAAAGATTCGGACTTGGTAGGACGGATGGTTGTCGAATTTACTGCTAACTTTTTTTGGGTAGAAGGTCGGGCAGAAGAGATTAAGGAACGATGCTGCTCGTTCCTTTTCTGTGAGTTGGGGCTCGACTTCGAATCTAGATTTTTCTGACAGATATTTAGCGGCCAGGAAGGAAAAAGTAGGGCACGGGTAGTAGGCACAAGGACCATGCTTTTTATTTCAGGCACGAGAATGACGAGCTTTGACCCCCATGCCCAAGCACGTTACCCCAATCCCCACTGTCCTTTGTGTTTGCCTTACATCACACAATCCCCCAACCTTATGCCCCGGAATCCTGAAGTTCAAATCTTAAACCCATAGAAATTTGAACTTTCAGTTTTAGACTTGCCAAGGAACGGGCAACTTCAGAGTTTGGCCCAGGAGCTCAGCATGGGGGGTTGTGGATTTCAGCGTTGAGTTGTTCAAGGCTTTCAGGTTGAGGGTGCATAGTTTATAGGTTGTGGGATCTACGGTTTGAAGTTATGAAGTTCAGGGCTTTTTTAGCTAAAGGGCTCGGGAGCTTTTGTGTTCTAGACAGGCAAAACAAACGATAGCCTTGCTCGTAACAATGATCATATTTGCTTCGCACCCTTTAATCCAGACTTGTCTTCTGTGGAATGGCTTAGTAAGCTTCTTCTGGAAGATTTCGTCTGGGTTCGCTGTCGTGAAACCCTTAAGGCCTTGTCGTTTAGACCTTCTCTTCTACTAAATCTTCAACATGAAAACTGAACTCTCTCCCTACTTCAAACACAAATTTTGAGTTACTTGACGCCCTCAGACGTTGGAGAACTTGCCTCAGATGTGAAGCGATGAAACTCTTGTACAGAAGCCTAAATAATTAGCAGTGCTATGGTCCCAGATTCCTTGTATAATCGTGAGGACATAGGGTAACTCCAATAGACCTCAAAGTGATATTCTTGAAGCCTCAAATCCCCGGTCTTTCACAACACATCCTCCCTCCCCAACACCTAAACTTTTTTTGGAGTTGCTGCCCATCACGTTGCATTTCTAGTCTCAGAAGCGCCACTACACCATCATGAAGATGCCTTGTTGGCAGCCCTGCACTCCAGACCCCAAGTCCCCAATCTTCAAAACCAGAGCCCAGGGCTCGAGGCCCCAAACCCGAAGGACGACATACGCAGCAATCTCCTAGGGAACACTCTGTCAGGAGCTCTTGGAATTGGAGCCTGGGAGTTTAGTAGCTGCCCGGCTGTCGCCGCGTGCGTGAGCTTGGGGCAGACAAGCATTTTTGTAATGTAAAGTGGAGCTTTGTACACGGCAGGGTCAAAACATATAGTTTGTCTTGTAGAGAATATGATGGGTGTAGCCTAGAGGGTTGCATGCAGTACGGTTTCATGTAGTGAGTTCATGATATCCTTTATGTGCAAGCTGGGGTCTTTGGCATGCAAATTCTGGCCAGAGAGGCAGAAGATGCATGCATGCTCTGGGGTGTGGGGGGCTGCTCCTTCCTCTTCTACTATGTGTCTGGCTCTCAGGAGATGTTTTAAACATGGAACATGACACCCTTAGCCATGTTGGTAGAAGCTTTCTTTCCAACCTTGGTGCTGGACAACCTGCACCTTGTCAAGACCATCTTGTGTGGAAAGGCTATGCCCTATCTTGACAATGGCCTGGCCATTGTCGCCTTTCTTAGGACTCAGTCCGCACAAGTGGCTTTCAAGAGTAGTCATGCATTCATTATTTTGCTTCCAAGAGGACAGGTGCAGGTGTTTTCAGTTGGAACAGCCCTCCTGTAGTGTGAGTTTCTGACAGTGAGGGGCCATGAATGTAGCCTGCAGCTGAAGAAATTCACCTAAAAGCTTACTGCAAACTACGCCGCTTACTGTTGTGAACTGCACGCTGGCACAAGTGTGTTGCCAACACGGGAACCTCTTGTGCTTAACTACTGCCTAGCTGGGAGAATGTTTTCTTGAAACTGACGTCCCTCCTTTTGCTTTTGTGTTTTACTCTGGAGTGTTGATAATGATGCAGCCCTCGCGCTGGTAAGTTGGACCCGCTTACCCACGCAGTCATTGCATTATCATCTTTGAAGGTCCTCATTGTGGCTTCCTTTCTCGACAGTCTCTGCCCCTCTTTCACCCAAGACCTTATGGACTGAAGCATGATCAAATTATTTGGTGCCGTGTTGGGAGCTCGCATCCATACCTGCAAGCTGAGGGTTGCTGAAAAAAAGATGTGCGATGCTGCTCGAAGTTGTTTTCGATTCCGGCAAGCTGTGTATTGTGCCCTAGGCTTGGGATTAGGGACAGCGCATGGAGCTTTGTAGTGGGGCTATTCACTGAGGGCATCCCGTATTGATGTGTCGCCGTAATGGACTCTGGCCGCTTCCCTGCAATGATGCGAAGGTGCTATACTGTTCATGCTATACTGGTTAAGTAGCACCCGGGAGATTCATGCGAACCTATCCAGGAATTGTGCGTGGTGTGTGTACTTGTGCTTTTACATGCGTAGCTGCACAAGCTCTCTGAATCTCTTTGAACACTTCCACCATGAGCCTCTCTAGAAGCACATGTTCCTGTATGCGCAGCTGTTCTTCAGGAAGCATCCAACTCGGTCCCACACAAATTAGCCCTTGTCATCTGGCCTTTCTGGCTTGGAAGCCAAAGTCTCGAGGCCTCCACGGCACCACCGGCCACAGGGCGCGTGCTGCTTTCCAACGCACGGCTCCCTGAGTCCTGCGGATTTTAGGATTGGAGGTACAAGCCTAGGATGCTTCGGAACGACAGGTAGGACTTGAGTCTGAAGTTGATGAGTTCATGAACTCGCAGGTCCATCAGCCGCAGCTGAGCCTCCCCTGTCCCACATCCATGAGCATAACCCCTCACCCAAGCCGAGCTGCCGTTCAAAAGCAACAATGAGCCAAACCGGTGCTACTAGGAACTGGTAATCTCATTTGTGACGCAGTTGCTGCCAGCCTTTCCACTACTACGACGGTTACGACTTCCTTCTTTGCTTACACGGTCTTCAGGCAGAATGGTGGATTGACTACAGAGAGGAGTGTAGAGATTATGATATGGAATCACTTCCACTACCCATAGAATTCATAGATACTATCAGCCACTTCATAATTCGAGTTTTCAATTCCACTTTCCTTTCTCCATTTGATTCTCCATTTCAGGGATCCTTTCTGTTCTCCTTTCTTCAGCACCATAAAGCCGAGGTGAAGCCTCTGGGACGCTCCAAGCTCCTAAAAGCGCCGAAGGCGGGGTGTGTGGGATTGCGCAACCTCCGTGAGCCTCTAGAGCAATTGCCAGAGTTGTGCTTCAAGAGTTGCAGCTCTTCATGCGGGTGTTCAATGCTGCATCATGAGCGTTAGAGGATGTTTCAAGGGATTTCACCTGCAATTTTAAAAAGGGTTTGTTTTGTGTTGGGGTCCCTGATGAGGATTTTGGATTTGGGGCATACCTCCTGAAGCATCGCATGTTGTCCAAGCCATTGCACTTTTCTGTAGACTGCAGGGCACCAAGCCCCAGCAACAGAGCCATCACTTCGACAGGGTGGAGACTAAGCAAGACTCCTGCACGACCCCGGGTTCCCAATGCCTCGGGACTGATTGCTTTTTTTTGTATACCAAGGTCATGCAGGATTTTGCATCTCAACAGAATGTCATCTTATCCAAGAAAGGCGAAGGAACCTCCTGGCGAGGGGGCTGCCGTCGGGGAACCCAGCCATGGCAGAGGAAGGCTTTGTTGAAATCTGAGGTTCATGGGCAAGAGGTTTATGAGTAGCTGCAGTTGTTTGTATAGATTAAGAGTATAATCATCCTACAGGGGTAGCTGTCAGTAGGGTTAGTGGTGTTGACGTGCTTAAGCCCCCATGTAGTTACCCCCTGCCCCCCCTGAACCGACAAGTAAGCGTGGTCTTGGGGACCCCAGGGCCCCAGGGACATGGAGTAAGCCCTCTTCAGGATCATGCTTGGGTGGTTCCCAATGATAGTGAATTCCTGAGGACCCGAACACTGTAAGAAGGTCATCGTTGGAGACGGATTTAAGCAACTTGACATCACAGCGAATCGCTTCAGGGTATCTGGCAAGGGCTAAGAGGACAAGATTCGGGGGTTTGAGACCTGGTCTGGGTCAGACTCTCATGGGAACCAAAAGAAGGAGCCCGAACATGCGGATCAGTTGGGTGGATTCCTCTCCGCAAGTTGCGATATAACACTTCCCCCACCTTAATTCCACGGAATGCACCGAAGCCAGCTGCCCAATATATGGCCGCTAGCTAAACTGTCTGGAAGGTACTTCTCCAAAGTTCTGAAATCCTTGTTCTACAGACCCGAGAATAACAATGAAATTGATTGCTCAAACTGACAGATTCAAGCTCAAGCGATCATAAGTTGGCCTCCGGCCCGCAATTTCCCAAAGCCAAGAAATTCCAGCCCTTTATAGGCCCCAACCCTTGAAGCCCCAAACCGAACGCCGCTCCCTATCATAGCCGTTCTTCGCCCTCATTCATAGCGTCGTTTCCATTCTCTGTTACATTCCGCTCCAAACAGTAGCTGCGGCCTAGAGCCCGAATGTTCTCCAATCTTTTGGAGGGAACTCCCTGCATCATTCATCGTAACGCACCAAGTCCCTGAGTTCTGCTGCCCAAGCCTTGAAAGCACGCCCCAACCTCTAGATCTTAAACGCAGAAAACGATTCCCATAGGTTGAGGCATTTTGGCCTGATGATGCCTGGGCCCCGATGCGGTCAAGGGATCAGTGTTTCAAGGTTTTGCACTCTGGGAAGGTTTTCATATAGATGGCACCTTAAGCAGACAAGCAACATAAGATGGTGTCTTCAATTGTACAGCTTGTCAGGAACGGTGCAACAACGCCGCTGCTCAGCTCAAGTCACGGTTGAGCCTGCGCCACAGGCTTGTAATGGAAACGGCAGAGTGGACCATAGTTCATGTGGAGCGGCCATGGAAAGGGCGCACGGAGCCCATGAAGCTGCTTTTGGAGGACGCCGGCGTCACTTACGTTGTGCGCTGCGAGGAGCCGGGTCCCGCCATCTCCTTTGACTTGTGGCGAGGGTACTTGTCTGAAGACGCAATCACTGTGGACAGCACTCCCTTCCCAGACTCTCGGTTGCGCTCCTGAGCCTCTGCTGTACCTTGCAAAAGGGCGCATTCCATTCCCCTCTTTTAATAATAGGCCTTGAGGGGGGGGGGCAGTGTGGGCGTTGTACTGAGTCTGCAAACTCCAGGTGCCATATCCTCCAGCAATTTGGCATCGACCTCATGATGGTGAGGAGGTCTTCGTAAACACTCAGATCGCGAGTCTGAGGTGGGATGCAGATGGCAGGGATAGCACCTATCAAAGCTTGGACACAGCATGTCCAATCGCAAGTCTGACCAGGTACTTGGGCCAATGCTTGGGCTATGCGCCTGCCTCTGCTGCTGAGGGTGCACGTGCTGACCAAATTGCGCAGACTGCGGTGGACTATTGGGCTGAGGGGCGGACTGCTTTTCATCCTCTGGACAACTCTCACTTGGGGTCGTACTCATCACAGAGACTTGCCAGCCTTGGCTGCTGTGCTTCTCCTTCTTTCTTATCAGTTTATCCCTCTGCTGTCAGGAAAGATGCCGCGCACAAGTCTTCCAAGGAGTGGAGCGCTACGCGCATGCGTTTTTGGCTAAGGCACTTTGAGAAGCTCCGCGGCAGTTGGTGATTCCTGGAAATGTTGTTGTGTGTCACTGCTGTCCCGGCTCTTCCCTGACCCCGTTAACGGTCCTAAACGCAAAGTCGGAGAGGAAGATCGTTCTGCGCGGCGCTGGGCCACGGAAGCCGGTCGCAGGCGGCGCCTCGGTCACCTACGCAGACTTCCTGCTCTTCCACGTCTTGGACGCCACAGAGGCGCTGTAGGGTCCAGAGCTAGACAATTCTCGGCCTCAAGAGGCAGAGCTGACTGGCTCCTAAGATTTGCGGAAGGTTTTTGAGCCCCTGCTTCGGCCACAGGCTCAGTTCAATGATGAGCACTTTTCGAGGGCTTGGGACGCGGCCCCTGAAGGTCTGAAGGCCTACAAGGCTCTGGGACAGAGCTTGAACATTGTCGTTTTGCTTGTTGTCTGTTATGACGTTATGACAGGTTTCCTCATATTTTCAGCTCCCTGTTGGGAGGAGTGGATGGCTTGCCGGCCAAAACTCGAGGCCTACTTCAGCTCGGACAGGCGGAAGCCTTGGGCAGGGGACTCCATGATGTGATGAGGCGAAGCATAGCGAAGCGCGAAGAGATCGCGCGAAGAGCCAGGAGAGCAAAATTGAGGGGGCCCAGATGGAGAGTGCAGACAGTCTAAAGCTGTACGTTGGCAGAGGTTTAGGTTTTTTCTTCCCGGGGCATCGCAACAGTAGTCGAAATAGCGGAGTCGTCGTTGTAGAAGTAACAGTCGTATCATCTCCTTATAGCCGCAAACGATGCTTTCGCCTTAAGCGTGGGACCCAACATGCTGCGCAAACCCCCAAACCCTACGGTTGACAGTGTGCTTTCATGTGCACCCCAAAGGAATGTTCTTCACATTTCAGGAGTTTGTCCGGCTGTTTGCATGAAAGCGTGGGATTTCGGGTGCTCGTGGGCGTGTTCACGGGTTCTGTGGTATTTGCAGGCTGGCGTGTTCGCATGACTGGGAACCCCAGTCTACCCTTTTTTCTTTTGGTTCTTTGCATAATACACCAATAGAAGAAAGGGCAGCCTTATTGCAACAGGTTACTGGGGTACCAAGATGATGACTAATTCCTTCATTTACCATTAAACACCGAAGACCTGCTCTGCAGAATCCCTTTTGCCATCACAGCACGCAAAGCCCCCTGGCCATAGTAATAGTAAAAGTAATAGTAATCGCAATAGCAATAGCAATAGTAATAGTAATAGCAATAATAATCGTAATATTCATAGTTATAGTAATGGGTAGCCCCCTGCCTGGGATTTTCGCTAGTTGCCGCAACATCCGCTTGGCAACTACTGCATGTTGCGTATGCTGAAACCTCACCTGGGCGACAGGCGTCATTAGGGCTTCTTGTTGCAATAACACACAAGGATAAAGCTAGCTTTTGCGAAGAAACAATACCGAATACCAAAACAGATACACTTGCTCAATGTTACATATGTCTGCTTTCGGTCTTTTGGGTCTTGCCCGCAGCTCACGAAACCCGTGGCTGTGGGTAGTAATATGCTCACTGAGGTTTCGGGTTGGGGGCTTGGCGCTTAGAGGTTCAGTTGGTTCAGGGGACTTGGTTTCAGGTTGTGCAGGCTTCTGGGACTGGCTGTTCCGCAGTCATCTGACCACAGGGCATAGGAGCGTTTCTCACATTTGGTAACTACAAATGCCAAGCACGGTTCTGTTTTTTTCAGATTTTCCGTCTCTCTCCAAAGGCTTTCTGGGCGCCTTTTGACACAACGGATCCCCTCCAGAATCTCCCAATAGTGCCTCTGTCCTACAGCCAGGACATGTGGCTAGATGCGCTCGTCACACAGGCCTGTGATCGTGTGTTGTAGAATGTGAGGAGGGTTTGCGTGGGTTGTTGGATCTGCGCACCACTCCCTGGTCCCAGATCCGCCACTTTCTCAGCCACTCTTTTTTTGTTTTTGTGTGTTCTTGGGGCTCCAGTCCTCAAGGTGCTATTTGTAAACCCTGAGCTTTGAGGCGGAACGTTTCAAATTCAAGGCAACGGTTTACCAGCATCCCATTTCGTGCGACGTATTTTCAGAGCTGCAACAAGACCCGCTCCAAACAGCCAGAATTTATTCCTGCATTCACTAGTTCCCACAACTGGATGCATGGGTCCAGGCTGACGTGGTGCCTCAAAGCCATGGTGATGATGATGGTGATGATGATGACGAACATGGGGATGGTGGCGGCGATGATGATGATGATGATGATGATGATGCTTCACACAAGGCTTTCCTGGCTGAATTGACTGCTTCAACATGTTTCCTCAAGGAGACTGATGTTCAGTCTTGCTTGCAGAATGCTGTTGATTACGAGCTCTTTACTGCAAAAATAACATAGCAATTGCGGGGTATTAGACTGAGATCCCGAGGTCTAAGCTTAACGGCTCTGCGGCCATCATCGGTGTGATGTGCTGGCATTCCGTCTTCAAACAAGACAGCACGGTAATGACCTTGCAATATGCTTTCCCCTATGTGGTAAATGATTGCTGTAACCCTGTACAAGGCATGCTCTATGTCAATCCCATCATTCCTATAGTAGGGCATGGCAAAACTCCAGTCGGGGGAAATCGTGCCTGGACATTTATCCCCTTGGTCCGTGAATCTCGCTATTTGCAAGGCCAACACAGCGGGCAGGCTGCTCAAAGCATGAGGTCTGGCCTGAGCACTCCAGACATCTATGAGATTCTGGATGGAGCTGTCAGCATCTGGGCTCAGAGCTGCTGACAAAGGCAAGGGCCACGTGGTGCCACGATCCGTCGCCTGCGCCGAAGTGTTACTATTAACCTGGAGCCTAGACTCCCAAGTGCCAACCTTGCCGGCTTGAAAAACCTCCTGCATGAGGCTCTGCAAAAATTCCGAGGCATCGTGCTGCTGACCTGGGCGTGACCAACTGCGCATAATGGCCTGCCACTGCAGTGTGTGCCATAAGGTGACGGGCCTAGTCTGAGCTGTCAGCCAGATTAGGAAACGCATGAAGCGGGTGTCGGCAAAAGCTGTGCTATGAACCTCCAAGGTGTGTGCAATTGTCCACGCAGTAGCTAATACAGTAGAGTTTGCGTAGCAGTAGTTGCTATTTTGGAGCTGCAATAGACTTATGTTCTGCCTGCCTGCTGAGCGAAGCCGTGCTAAAGCTCCTGGATCAAGCGGTCGACAGTGTTCGCCAGGGGCGAACGGCCGAGCTTGGCCGGTCGCAGCGTGGCCGCAATGGAGGTGGGTACAGGAGTTGCGGCTGAGCTTTCCGAGCAGGTGAAAGCACTGTTGGGAGTCCTGCGAGCGGTTTTGGATTTCGAGCGTGAACGGCACCACTTCGCTGGTCATTTCCGCTGTAAGTTTCCGCATTGCGTGGAAGCGAGCTACCACGTGCGGGTGGACCGATAGCAGCTTGAGGGATGTCAGAGTCTCCACCACATCCTTGTAGGAGAGGTGCTCCTGCATCGCCGGCGCATACTCCTTCTTCTCCGGATCCCATTGTAGGTAAGGGAAGGCCCCATTTACCATCAGACCTCTTTGCTCCGCCAGCGCCTTCAGTGCTGGGTCTGTTTGCAGCTGCTTCACCCTCGTTAGCAGGGCATCCCACATTGAGCCCAAAAGGACTACCCTGAGTGGCTGGGTGACCTGAC